CAATAAATGAAGTTTTTAATGTTAACGAGAATTACATATTTTAATTTATTTTTTCAAAAAGAACAAAGTGATGAAATATTAATATATGCAAACTGAAGAATATAAATGAAATGTGTTGAGATGTATATTCAAAATCGTATTTATTATTATATTAAAAATTGTCATTGTTCTTGTATTATATTAAAGGGACAGATCATTAATGTCTAAAAAAAAAAATTAAGGGGTAATTTTGGTAAAGAAATTTTTTTGGGATAAAATCATCTTTTAAGATTTAAAATATTTAAAAAAAATGTTTAAAAGTTAAAAAAAAGGCAAAATATTCTGAAGCCTTAGATAGTCCTTGAAACCATCACGATAACAGGAATGAGAAAGAGAAGTGGGGTAAAGAGAGAGAAAGAAAAGAACCAAGGGTGGATCCATGGTTGCCTGTTCTGACAGTGAGTCAAGTTGGCAGTGGTTGGAATTGAGGTAGGAAGTGTGGAGAAGAGATTAAAGGGCATAATGAAGAGAAAAAAAAGAAAATAGAAAAAGGGCCGGCTAAAACTTCCCAACCGCTACAAGTATGGGATCCATGACCTTTATTATTATCTAGGTGGCCTCAAAGTAATAATCAACTTGGAGCAAGCAATGTAGTTGTCCCAAACCAGATCGCTGATGTAAGCACAGCCCAAGCATCTCAATCTCCAGACGATTCCGATGGTTTTCTTTTGGAAAGATACCTATCATGTAGGGGGAGTATATCATTTCTTCTCATCTCATTTTTCTTGCAAAAATTTAGGTCATGCATTAAGTTAAAGTTATTAAATTTCATGCAATTTCATTCCACAAAAATGAAGTTTTTAAAATAAAAATTCAGCTTTTTATTAAAAATATGATATTTTTAATATATAAATGTAATTTTTATTAAAAATATAAAAAATTAAACGTATAATATCTTTATTAATATTATTACATATAATTGTATAAGATTATATTTGTTAGGATATAACAAATCTTTTTTCTATATAATGTCAAGGATAATAATTAAAACTGTAAGATTGTATTTGTCGAAAAGATAAAAATTTTATTTTTTAAAATTATTTAATTTCAACGAAATCAACATATTATTCACGTGTCACATGTTATTCACATGTTTATATTATGAATGTCATATATTATTCACGTGTTACTAATAACAATATAATAAAATATTTTATTAGATAATCTTACATTTTTATTAACCAAATAAATAAAAAATCTTATGTTCCTTAAGTCAACAAAATTTATATTCTTCTTTAATATCACTTTCCCTCTAAATTTAAGAATTTGAAGGCCAAACGCTCCCTTAAAATGTGTTTGGATGTGCAATTTGAAATTTGGAAAAAAAAAAAATTATTTCAATCAAAATTTTAAAAAGTTCAAAAATAATATTTTTATATGGGTAAAAAAATGGGGAATTTTAAAATTTAAGAACAACTTAAAGAACGATTTTGAGCTGCACAAATTCTCTCCTACTCTCCATTCAGATAAATGCTCTTTCAAATTTTCTTTAGATCTTCTCTTACTTTATTTCATATGATCCACTATAAAATATTTAACTCGAAAATAAAATTTATTTTATTTAAATCTAATATATTTTTAAAAATTTTATATATTAATAATATTATATATTTTTAAAAACTAATGATACTTATATTATATACATATATATTTATCTGTAATATCATTATTATTATTTTTATAATTATTTTTTATTTCATTAAATTTTAATAGATTAAATTTCTTTCTAAGAAATATATTTATCTAAAAAAAACAATTATAAATGTTAACCTTTTGAAATGATATATTTTAAATATTTTTATTTTAAAATTTTTTAAAAATTTAAAATTTCTCATCCAAATACATAGCTACTAAGTACTTCACCTTTTACTTTCCTAAGTTTTTATATTTATAACCACGAATTTTTTGTTGTCAATAATAGTAGTTTTTCTTGCAATTGATCCTCAAACTGAAAAACAGATGCTAACAATTATCTTTTTTAGTTAAATAATGCCAAGATATGTTATCAAGAAAATTTAAATTTAAATTCAGTTACGTTTAAAACAGAAAACCTAATCAACTAAATTAATTTAGCCCTCTAATAAATTCATCTATGGAAATGATCTAACTCAGATTGAGTTTTTGGAAAAGAATTTGTAAGTTTTGGTTTAATCTAAGGCATTATTTGATTAATACAACATATTTTTATTTAATTTTAATTTTAAAATATATTTAAAATATTGATATAAAATTTTAATATCTTAATTTTTAAATAATATCGAACTTAAAATGAATGTATTTCAATAAATCAAATCTAAATTCAAAACGTTACTTTTAAAAATACCTAGCCAACCTTAATAAATTAGGGTTAATAAAAAAAATCAACAGAATCAATTTAAAATTTTGGTATTTGATTGAGATCAAATTGACTTTTTTCCTATCTGATTTGATTCAAATTTGATATTGAATATTTAAATTTTAGTTCAAATTAATTTTTGGATCATGAATAAAAAAAAAATATTCAAATTAAACTGAATAATATTTTTATATAAATTTTAAATTTTTACAAATTAAAATAATTATTTTATAGCTAAATCTTTTAAATATATTCAAAATAATATGAAAATAATAGTAAAAATTAAAAAAATAATTTTAATAATTAATGAATCAAACTAATAAAATTTAATTTTGATCAAATCAATTTTAAAAATGGTTGGTTGAAATTCAAATCAAAATTTAAAACTAGAGACAATAGATGGAGAAAAAGAATTATTTAAAATTGCTAGAATGAGAAGTAAGAAGAGTAGAGATCCCGATGGGGTAAAATGTATAAAAAACAGTGACGAAAAAGTTTTAGCGAAAGACAAAAAAATTAAGAAAAGATAAAGAGATTATTTTGATAATTTCTTTTAATGACAATTTTAAGCAAGATATAAATAAGCTTAATATACCTTTTAAGGATATTAATAAGGTATTCAACAAATATTAACAGGTATGACATTAAAGAAGTGTTGAAAAAGATGAAAACAAAGAAAGCCATAGGACTAGATGGGATACCGATTGAAGTTTGGAAATGCTTGGATAAAAGAAGGATATGATGGTTTCAGATCTTTTCAACAAAAGTTGGTGTACTTAAAAGATGTCAAAAGAATGGGGGAAGAGTACTCTAGTACCTATATATAGAAATAAAGATGATATACAAAATTGTTCGAACTATCAAGAAATAAAGTTTATGAGTTATATTATGAAACATTGAAAGAGATAATTGAATATAGGTTAAGACATAGAGTTAGTATTTTCAAAAATTAATTTGGGTTTATGCGAAGATGCTCCAAAATAGAGGCAATCCACTTATTGAGATTTCTATTGAAAGGTTTTAATGCGAAAAAGAAATATCTACATATGACATTTATTGACTTTAAGAAAGCATATGATAGAATTCCTTGAGAGATATTTAGGTGGCCTTAATGCAAAAAATAGTTCCTTTAAAGTATATTAATATAGTTAAAAATATGTGTAAAGTGTTGTAAAGAATGTGAAGACGATTGGGGGCGTGATTGATAGCTTTTCTATACCTTAAAATTGCATCAAGGCTCAGCACTAAATCTATTTATTTTTGCATTAGTTGTAGACGAATTCACCAGGCATATCCAAGATAAATTGCCATGATGTACGTTATTTGCTGATGATATAATCTTAATTGTTGAAATTAGTAATAATCTTAATACGAAATTAAAATTATGAAGGCATACATTAGAGTCTCGAGGCTTTAAATTGAATAGATCTAAAACTGAATATATGGAATATAAGTTTAGTAATCATAAGAAAGCGAGTGGCAATGTAATTAAGTTGGATAGTGAGGTAATATTAAAGAGTAGCCATTTTTTATATTTGGGATCAATTATTCAGAGTGATGTTGAGATAAAAAATGATGTAAATCATAAGATTTAAGTAAGATAGGTGAGGTGACAAAGTGTGTCGATGGTCTGTTGTGTGATTGCAATATGCTTTTAAAGTTAAAGACGGAGTTGTATAAAATAACTGTAACACCTACATTATTATATGAAACTAAGTGTTAGGTTGTTAAAAAATAACATGAAAAAAATAAGCGTAATTGAGATGAAAATACTTAGATGGATATGTGATAAAATTAAAAGAGACAAAATAAAAAATAAAAAGATTCAAAAAAAATTAAAAAAAATCTAAATTGAAAAAAAGATGAGAGATGATCGTTTGAAATAGTTTGGATATATGAAATGTAAATTTATCTATGTACCAGTTAAGAAAAGTAAGTTTCTAAATTTAAAAGAGGACAAAGCTTCTAGAGATAAAATATGAAAAACGTAGAAGAAAGTAATAAAAAATAATATGAAGATAAAAAAATAGATGAAAAGATTGTTATAAATAAAATGAGTGATATAAAAAGATTTAAAATTATAATTTAATATAATTTTTTAAAATTTTTCATATAATCAATCTTAAAGTTATGAGATATAAAATTTAATTTGTTATTATTATTATTTATTTATTAAAATAATAAAACCAAATTCGTCCAGTCTATTATTTATAATTAATCCAACTTTCCAAACGTATGAAAGTAGACCGATGAAAAACATAACTTTCTTTATCCTTTACGTTTGTCTCTCTGATTTAGTTGCCTCTTGTTTCACTATGAAAGGCAAATTTCTAACAACCTCAGCGTTACAGGTTGTCAGATCCCTGTTGGATTACAAATCAGAGCATGTCAGTCTTTTTATCACTTTCATTCATTGATACAGGTTATGTCTTTTCTTTTTTTTACTTATTCAACGAATATTTTTTTCTTCAGCATTCTAAATTTTAACCAATCCGAGTTATCCATTCATAAATTAGAATTAAAGAAGAGAGAAAGCAGTTTTTTTTTTCTTGAAACTAGAAAACAGAAAAAAGGATAAGATTTCAACGAACAGCTCACTGTCTCTTCCTTCTGTTCCGGTTCGGTTGCTATCATGAGTCTCTGCTTAGCCTTCACCCACCCTTTCTTAAACCGCCACGTACACTCGACCGCACTTTCTCTCTCTCATCCTCCTCCCCTTTCTCTCCGTTTCTTCTCTCTCGGTCCTCCCTCCCCCGCCCGCAACCCGCTTCGTTTCCACTTTCTCTACCGCTTTCCTCAACAGGCCACCGCATTCCCTGCAGCTGCAACGGCCAATCTCTTCCAAGACATCGCCGCCTCGGCTGCTGTCCTTGCTGGCGCCTATTCTCTTGTCTTCACCTTCGACATTCTCACCCAGAAAGAACTCATCCAACAGGTTTTCTTCTTGGACAAAATTGTTTTTTTCTCTTTATTAAATTTTTTATCAATTTTTATATTTTTTAATTATTTGAGCAGAATTTAAGTAGAAAACTAGTGCATGTATTATCTGGGTTGCTTTTTGCTGTTTCCTGGCCGATTTTCAGGTGAACTTTTAATTTTTTTTAAATATCGGAAAAAATTGGATTAAATATTTTATATTATTAATTATTTAATAATAGCTGATGATTTCTTTGATCTCCTGGAATAGCAATTCCATCGAGGCTCGTTACTTCGCATCTCTGGTTCCACTGGTGAATTGCTTAAGGCTTGTTATTCATGGTTTCTCTTTGGCTGATGATCCAGGCTTGATCAAATCTGTTACCCGAGAAGGAAATCCCAAGTAATTTTTCTATCCTCATTAATTCTTCAATACTGCATTTGGAATGCACTGTCACTTACTATATTGCCAGTGCATATCATTAATTAGTAAATTTAAAATTTTAAAAGATTTTAAAAATAAATATTCTTAAATTTTAAATATTTAATTATATTAAAATAAATTAATAAAATGGAGACTTATGATGCCGTCACAGTGTATAAATATAATACTTGTACCTTTATCTTATTATCGTATTTTTTATTTTGTGCTTGTATTAAAGAGAGCTGTTTAGTGGATGACCTAGACCTAATCCATATCTTTAAAATATTGTCTGTCCAATCCAATTTACTCATGAAAGTCCATTAAATTTAATTTACATTTTTAAAAAAATTATTCATATTTTAATTCTTAAATAAATTTTAAAATTAAAATTATATAAAATAATTATTAATAATAAAATATTTTTATAGGTCAGGATGGGTCTAACTTGAAAAATCTTATTCAAAAACACGACCTAATCCGAGCCAAGCCCATATGCCCTTGGACATGTGTAATATGGAGAAATTATTACGTGAACCTTTCATGCTACATGTAGAATAAGATACATCATTAAAATTTATCATATTACTTGTAATTTTGTCAAACTAATATATAAAAAAAATGTACTGTGTTTGGAATATAATTGGTTAAGATTTATTTTCTTGATTTGGTGGTGATGTGTGTTTCCAATATAATTGCAGGGAGTTGCTTAGAGGGCCTTTATATTATGTTCTAATATTGATTTTATGTGCTCTTGTGTTTTGGCGTGAATCCCCTGTTGGGGTCATCTCCTTGGCAATGATGTGCGGTGGAGATGGTAAAATCTCTTTCCCCTGTCCTTTTATGAAAATGAATCATTTTATCCCTTGACTGTCACTCTTCTGCATCTGCCAATGGACCCAAATTCCGGTTATTGCAGCTATGTTTGATTCATTGATGGTATAATTTTCTCTTCATTAATTACCATTTATTGACTAAAATTTAGAAGTAATTGATAAACCACTATTTTCTTTTCATTGGGGAAGGAGGATTTTATTTGGGCCTCGTAATTTAAGGAGGAGATATTTATATCAAGAATCTTACATCGATAAGGGATGATTTTAGGCTTATAAATCAGGGTTTTTTTTTTTTTTTTTTTTTCAGTTAATAAACATGTCTTTTGGATTAAAATCATGGATTTGTGATGAGTGGTATTAGACAGACCCAATACCATGATGTGGGCCTTCATGAGAGATTTTAGAATCAAGGTAGGCTCAGACCAAAGGCGTTTCCTTTTCTCTATGGGTGAAAGAACTAGTTCAGTGAGGGCATTAAATAATAATTGGGAGGGAGAGAATGTCACGAATCCCGATAAAAAAAGAGTAAACTTAAGCTTTTAAATCATGGATCTTCCTCCATCTAGTAAACATGTCATTTGAGTTGGAAACATGAGCTTGTAATACATGCACCTACTCATTAAAACCTTTTGGTCATTACATCTATTTAATCAAGTTGATTCATGTAGTTATTATTAGATATGACATTTAATAAGTTTTGAATTTAAATATTAAATTAAATTTAATTGATTTATATAATCATCAAAGATGATATTTAGTAAGTTTTACATTCAATCCTAATTTTAAGCTATTTAAATTAGTTGGTTTATGTAGTTATCGATATAACATTCGGTAGGTTTTGAATTCAAATTTTAAACTTAATTCAATTAATTCAAGTAATAATCAGATATGAAATCCAATAAATCTTACATTCAAATCCTAACACCTATAATCTATTTTCATATTCTCAAATTAATGTATTTTTTGTAAAAAAAATGGTTATTAATAACTTCTGGCTGTGTTTCATAGGTGTTGCAGATATAATGGGAAGAAAATTTGGTTCCTCCAAAATTCCTTACAATCAAAGCAAGAGTTGGGCTGGTAGCATATCGATGTTTGTTTTTGGATTCTTCATTTCTATTGGGTGAGTTTCAGAAATTTGATACATTTTACTATATGTTTTGCTTGCTTCCAACATTGCTGATAAAGTTTTTCTTGTTCCATCTAGGATGCTATACTACTACTCGGTTCTTGGATATTTCCAATTGGATTGGTGTTGGACATTAATGCATAGGGTTGCTTTAGTTTCTCTGGTGGCAACAGTGGTTGAGTCCCTTCCAATTACAATGGTAGTAGATGATAATATCTCTGTTCCTCTTGCTACCATGCTAGCAGCCTATTTGAGTTTTAGACACTAGTTTCTTCCAAGTCTATTGTTAAAGCAATAACTGATTGTTTTTCTTTTGATCAAAATTGTGCTGTATTCAACTTAGATACATGTCATATTAATGGAGGGAGGTTGAAATTTCCTCAATTATTTTTGTAAACTCAATCATTAACTTTTTTTTCTCACTCCTAATACTTTAATTACTTTTTTGTCATATATAATATGCATTGCAGATTTGGTATAGATAAATTTCAGTTTCTGACTCTGCAGTCCAGCAGTGTCATGGCCTAGTTTCTATAATTGATGTCGTCCATACTTTAATGTCATGGCCTAGTGTGGTCCATACTTTAATAAATACTTGGAAAAAGGAAAATGGGTGGTACTGGTGAAAGCTTGACTCAGTGATGCTTTTAAAACTCGGTGTTTGTAATAATATATACTATATATTAATCTTTTTTGTAATATAAATTATATATTTATATAAATATAAATATATAATATAATATTATAAATATAAAAATTAATATATTATATAATTCAGATTGGGTTGCATTCAGTTCAAACATTAAATATTAGAGAGAAACCTCATTTTTTTATTCAAATATGTTTAAAGAGCTTAATATTTTTAGATGAAAAATGTCAAATATAAGATGAATTATCGAGTTTGAATAACCTAATCTTGTATAGGTTTAATTAGGGTATATTCCTATATTTCCTCTATCCTAATATTCATTGTTGTAATTTGACTTTGGGATTACATTCAAATTAGTCATTATACTTAGAGTAATAATGATTAAATTTACCATTCATATTTGAATGGCAATTTTATTGTTGTTGCCTTGTTGCTTAAAACTTGATCAAAATTAAAATATTGGTTAGGATATTTCACTATTTTTTATGGAATATTCTTTTATGGTTAACTTTTAATTATTTTTGAACAAAATTAAAAAGTATAGTAGTAAAATTATTCCATTTAAAGATGAGTGATAAATTTGATTTAGCATCTAAAGTAAAATGATGAATTTGAATTTATCCCTTTGATTTTCATAAAGATTAAGAAAAAACTTTTACTTTAATGTATTTTCATAAAGATTAAGAACAAAAAATTTACTTTAATTATGAGTTATAATAGATAAGATGTGACTGGATTTGATTTAGTTATTTTTATCAATATATAATATTTTAAATTTTAAAATCCAATTCGAATTTGAATTGACTTTCTTTTAAAACAAAATCGATTTGAATTTAATTTTATCAGTTTAGTTTGATTTAATTCATTGATTTTTAAAATTTTAAAATTTTAATTTTTTCTATTATTTTTAATATATTTAAGTATATTTAAATATAAAATAATTATTTTATTTTATAAAAATTTAAAATTGATATAAAAAGTAATAAAAATATAAATAAGTTGATATTTTTGTTTTTCACTATACAATCTGAAATCAATCTAAATCGAATTAAAATATATTAATATTAAATTCAAATCAAATTGTATCAAAAAATTCTAATGCTATCCAAATCAAATATTAAGATTTTATATCGATTTTTGATTTTATCTATTTTTCCCTTAACCCTAACTTTATATGAATCAATCACTTTTAAAAAATTATATCTAATAGGTATAAAATTCAAATTTTAATATCTATAATCTCTTTTTTTTTTTTTTTTATCCTTATACGGTGGCCCATCTAAATAACAATTATTTAAGAAAAAGTAAAAGTTGATAAACTAAATCAAATATTTGATCAATTAGCAAAAAATAAAATACTCGACCTTCTTATTAAAAAAATACAACACCTTAATTCCTTTTTTAATATATTTTAATATTCATTTTAAACCAATAATAATAATAATAATAATAATAATAATAATAATAATAACAATAAATCTCCAAGCAATTAGCTGCAAACATTAATATGCTTGAATGTCAATTAATTAGCTTCTCTTTTTTTTTTTTCTTTGAATTTGAATTGAATTAGAATTTGAATTGGTTTAAATATCATTTTCTTATTAAAGAGAAAGCAAATTAATGTAGGAGATAACTTTTTTAATTTTTTTTTATCGAATACTTATATTTAATTGAATTTGTATTTAATACATTTTATAATTCTATATTATGTCAAAGAATCATATAACGTCATCTCATTAAAGAAAAATTTATTAAAATTTATTTATTTATTTATATAATATATAGAAAAAAGATATAAATATGATTTCTTAACGTTTTGAAATCAAATAAACCTAACAAATTCTCTCCCTTCCCTACACAAAATTACTCCAACCTAAGAAGACAATGGAAAAGAAGGCGGCCGCATCTCTTTGCAGCAGTTTTGTTGTTCCACTCGAAATCCAAATAGAAATTTTATCAAGAATGCCGGTGAAGAGCCTCATCCGATTCAAGTGCGTTCAAAAATCATGGTGCAATCTCATCCAAGACCGTTCTTTCATCGTCAGGCATATGGATCGTTTTGGTAAAAACAAGTATGTTTTTCTCCTCCGCAATTTTACTTTTGATCAATACATCAAGCAATATTGCATAGGAAACGAGAGCAATAATATTATTGAGGGTACCGAAATTCACATGTCAACTAAATGGTTATTTGGAGAATCAAAAGGGTCCATAATCGGTTCGAGCAACGGATTAGTTTGTTTAAGCAGTCACTCTTTTGTCCTGCACCAACCGGATCTCTTGAAAATACATATTTGGAATCCTTCCACAAGAAAAATCATGGAACTTCCTATATGTCATGGTGGGGATATTGGAGCTACTATTATTTCTCCTTATTTTTTCCTTGGCTTTGGATTTTGCCCTAAGATTGATGATTATAAGGTGGTAAGGGTTATGCTGTATGCTCATTCTTATGGTTGGCCACCATTAGAGGTTCAGGTTTACACCTTAAGCACAAATTCATGGAAAAGGATGACAATGGCAAACCCTGGCTGGGGTCTATCGCCTTCGTTAGGACGAAACGGGGTCACAAATGGGGCTTGTCATTGGCTAGGACTACAAATAAATTCATCAAAGAGAATGTCGATCATTGCTTTCAAATTTGATGAGGAGGTATTTCTAGAGATTAATACACCAAATCATCATATTTTTCAATATAGAAGCAGCTTTACGGTTTCGGATATATTCATCACAGAATATCGAAGTTTCCTTTCTTTGATTTCCAAAGGAGCTGATGGAAATTCTGCATTTGACATATGGGTGATGAAAGAATATGGTGTAGCTGATTCTTGGGTTAAACAATTCGCTATTGAAGTACCAGTCCCACAACATAAATTGCAGGTAATGGTGAACTTTGACAATAATGGTGCTCAACTTCTTCTACTTCTAGATAAGAATACGAGAAGGTTGTTTTGGTATGATATCAAGACCAATCAAATTGAAGAGGAGCACGAATTGTTAAACTTCTTATATCCAGATGAGCAAGTCATTGGTTGTATGGAAAGCTTAGTTTCATTGCCTGGGGAAATTAGCACTGTGATTTGAGAAGAATGATTGGAATTTTATACAATTTTAGTATAATTTTGTTTGCTTTCCACCTTGAATTTTAGGGTTAATTTATTTGGTTTTGATCTTTTTTTAATAATATTTGCTTTTGATTCTTGATGTATTGACTTTTGGATAGATCATGGTGCAATTTCATCCAAGACCTCCAATTTTTCATCACCATGCAGCGGAATGGCTTTGGTAAAAACAAAGATAGTTTTCTCCTCTATAATTCTTATCCTGATACTTTAAGCATTAATATTTCAGAGGAAAGATATTGTTGGTAGTAATAAAATTCTCATGTCAAATGAATGGTTATTTGGAGAATCACAGGGATAGGCTTCAAGGAATGAATTAATTTGATCAGAAAGATGCTTAGAATTAGGCTCAAATCACAGCCAATAATCGCATCTTCACCACCCCACCTATCTTGTTTTTGGCTTTACTAAAAGGTATCATGGAGCAGGAAAGAAGCAACTTTTACCATGTAAACAAGGTACTAGAGTGATTTTACTTGCACTCGTATGTGTAATAGTAATCAAAATTGTCCCATGATGGCTTCAGGGGAAAAGAAAATGCTTTGACAAATTTGACTTAAAGAGCATCTTCAACATATCACATGTTGACCAAAACGTGACTGCGTAATTGGCTCCTGCATCCCCACCATCTGCGTCAAGCCCAAAAGAAGTCAGGGCATACTCAAAAAGTAAATTTGATAAAAAATTCAATAACATAAGAAATTGATTCGAGAAATGATACTAAAATAAAAATGATTAAAATTTTAACAAAAATCATATATAAATATAATAAAAATAAAAAATATATATTTCATGTTTTTGTATTAACATATATTATAATATAATTTTTGTATAAAATATGATATACATGAATTACTAATATTTTATATTACATGAATACAAAATCTATTGCATATAATTTACTTGTATTGTTTCTTCAAGAACTTTCTCTGCTTTTGTGGAAAATGAAACCTATTTAAAGAAAAAGAGAGAGCAGTCAACAATTTCATACCCTAAAAATTTGTACTTGCATGGTTGAAACAGGGGATGCCAGAACAGCAGCAAAAATGTACCCTTTAGTTTTGGGAAACTTTTCTTTTTACTCCTTCAAACACTAATGGTATGCGAGGAGGATTGAAGGAAAAACAGAGTAAACAGATGGAAAGCTAAGAGTGTAAGAGAGTAAACAACTCTTAATTTATTTGATTGCAGAGCAAAGTAGTGTGCTTATACACCATTATCATTGCATCTTATGTTATATTTATCTATATACCTAGATAAACCCTAACAAAGTTATAATATCCAAATAAATCATTGACCTTTAATTTACATTCGAATAAATTTTTAATTTTTAATTTATATTCAAATAAGTTTTTAATTTTTTAATTTCTACCTAAATAAATCTTTAACATAAATCAATTTTTTGTTTCAAAAAATAACTTATTTAAGTATAAATCAAAATAATAAAGATTTATTTAAGTATAATAAAAATTTAGGGGCTTACTTAAAAAAATAAAATAATTCAAAGTCTATTTTGGTTTTTTAAAGTATGAGGGGTAAAAGGGAAATCATCAAGCAGAATACACTCCCCTCAAATCAGGAGGATTTGAGGATTGAAAAAAGTGAGAATACTGGGGGATAGGAAGGATTGGGGGAAGGAGGATTTTATTTGGACCTTTGTACTATATTGGTGTCACAAATCTCACGTTGATAAGAGAAGAGATGATTTTGGACTTATAAATCTTTTGTCTTTTTTCACATAATAATCATGTCTTTTAGATTAAAAATATAGATATATAACAAATGATATCAGAACAGGCTCAATTTTATACTGATGTAAATATTTATGAGAGATATTAGAGTTGAGATAGATCTAGATTAAAGGGGTTTCCTTTCCTTTTTAGGTAAAAGAGCTAGTTCAACGAAAGCATTAAACAATTTAGTGTGAGAGAATGTCACGAATCTCACATCCATAAGAAAAGATGTAATCTAATTAGGTAAGAGGATAGTCTTAAGGTGATATATCATGAATTTTCCTCCACCTAATAGAGATATCTTTTAAATTAAAAATGTGGGCCTGTGACATATGCACTTACCCATTAAAACCTTTCAGTTATTAAACATTAAATTTAACTTACTTAATTTATGTAATGATAAAAAATAACATTCATTAGATCTTAGATTCAAATCCTTCACTTATAATCTATTTTTTTATTCTCAAATTCCGATATCTTTTGTAAAAAAAAATGGTTATTAATAACTTCTGGCTCTGTGTTTCATAGGTGTTGCAAATATAATGGGAAGAAAATTTGGGTCCTCTAAGAGTCTTTATAATCAAAGCAAGAGTTGGGTTGGCAGCATATCGATATTTGTTTTTGGATTCTTCATTTTTTTTGGGTGAGTTTCAGAAATTTGATACATTTTAGTATGTGTTTTGCTTTCTTCCAACATTGCTGATAAAGTTTTTCTTGTCCCATCTAGGTTTTGGGATTTGTCTTGAATATCATAATCCCATATCGAAAGTTAAATTAAGTTAAAAGAGTTTGAGTTTATTTTATATCCCATATCAAGAGTTTAGTAAAAGTATAAAGGTTTCACCCTTATAAATAAGATTTTTTATTTTAGTTAGTAATTCTAGTTATTTAGACACCAAAAGAATAATTAGGTGAGTAGGCTAATAAAAGAGTGTAATTGGGTTTTGGGTTAAGTTTTGAGTAAGGAGTTTTCGATAACTTTTCTTATTCAAAAAGTCTCTAAGTTGTAAAGATTTATTTGATAGTGGATTAGGTTTGAAGTAGTCCATTTTGAGTTGAGCCAAAATAAATATATTTATTTTTTTTTATTATTGATTTGAGCTTGCTATTTTATTCGTAGGTACTGTGCATATTGATTTTCCAATAAGTGGTATTAGAGCGAGGTTTGAGGTTTGTAGGAAGAAAAGGTCGGCCCAAAAGATCGTCAAAATGTTTAAAAAAGGTATATCTAGTATGCCTATGCCTAAGTTTGAGACTCTATTATTTGATGGAAAGAGTAATTTCATGTTATGGTATAATATGATTCAATATATGTTAGTACAACAAGGGTTGGATCAGGCATTAGAGAGTAGTAAGCCTGAGAAAATGTTTAACGATAATTGAAATAGAATTTATAAAAAAGTTGTTAATACTATTAGATTGTTGTTAGCCCCAAAGGTAAATTATAGTGTGTTAACTGAAAGTACTCTGAAGAGTTTGTGGGATAAACTTGAGGGTATTTATGCATCGATGTCATTAACTAACAGATTATGTTTAAAGATAGATCTATATTCTTTAAAAATGAAAGAAGGTACAAGTCTTCATAATCACCTGAATGAGTTTAATAAATTAGTTTCTCAACTGCTGGCAATTTCTATTGATGAGTTGAAGATAAAAAGAAGGCTTCTATTTTGTTGTCATATTTACCTAAGTCTTATAGGCTTTTAGTTCAGACTTTGTTGGTCGGTAAGTCTACTTTGAAATTGGATGATGTGACTGCATTGTTATATGAGAACAAAAGGTTTATGAAAACATAAAACTTATCACTAGGAGGGAGTATACTAGTTGTAGAGGGTTTTGATTGAAGAAAGACTCAAAAGAGAATTGATGGATTAAGAGGGTGATCTAAGTCAAGAGACAGAGATTACAATGATATAAAATATTATTATTGTAGTGAAAAAAGACATATCCAAGTACACTGCAATAAGCTGAAAATGGATATAACTACTTTTAAAAAGATGAATAATAAAAAGAAATTGGATGAAGAAAAGAGTGATACTGCTACCATCGTATCTGATAATGATGATGTTATTTTGACGACTTTTATGGATGAGATTCAGACTTTGAAAAATGATAAAGGTTGAGTTTTGGATTCAGCTGCTACAGTTCATGTTTGCAATGATAGAAGTTACTTTGTGGAGTTGGATGAGAATGAAAAGTATGGGGATATTGTGATTGCTAACAACGAAAATGTGCAGATTCAAGGCATTAGGAGCGTTCACCTTAGATCTCACAATGTTGTTGTTAAGACACTTCGTCATGTAAGGTATGTATCGAGTTGTAGCCATATTTGATTACTTTAGGTGAGTTAGTTTCTCGAGAGTACACATATTATGATAGTAATGATTCGTTGAAGTGTACAATAACGTTAGTGTGATTTTACAAGGGAATAGAGTCAAAAATCACTTATACATACTTGATGAAGGCTCAATTGCTGGGATCCCTATGATGAAAAAAAAGAAAAAAGGCAAGTGTTTTAGTTTTACAGATACTGTTAAAGTGTTTGGAGATTTAAGTCAAGGAAGGATCTGTTGGAGTTATCTTGAATCTTATAATTCCACATTGAAAGTTAAGTGAATTTAAAAGAGTTTAAGTTTATTTTATATCCCTCATGGGAATTTAGTAAAGATATAAATGCTTTCACCCTTATAAATAAGATGTTTTGGTTTTAGTTTGGTAATTTTAGATAGTTAGACACTAAAAAAATAACTAAGTGAATAGGCTATTAAAAATGTGTAATTGAGTTTTGAGTAAGGAGTTTTTGATAACTTTTCTCATTCTAAAAGTCTTTCAGTTGTAAAGATTTATTTGATAGTAAATTAAGTTTGAAATAAGTCATTTTGAGTTGAGCTAAAACAAATATATTTGTGTATTCTTATTCTTGATTTGAATTTATTATTTTATTCATGGGTACTGTATGTGCATGTTGATTTTTCAATGCTATGATGCTATACTACTACTCAGTTCTTGGATATTTCCAATTGGATTAGGGTTGGACATTAATGCATAGGGTTGCTTTAGTTTCTCTAGTGGCAAGAGTGGTTGAGTCCCTTACAATTACAATGGCAATAGATGATAATATCTCTGTTCCTCTTGCTACCATGCTAGCAGCCTATTTGAGTTTTAGACACTAGTTTCTTCCAAGTCTATTGTTAAAGCAATAACTTGTTTTTTCTTTTGATCAAAATTTTGCTATATTCAACTTAGAAACATGTCATATTAATGGAGGGAGGTTGAAATTTCCTCAATTATTTTTGTAAACTCAATCATTAACTTTTTTTTCTCACTCCTAATACTTTAATTACATAAACAATCAACTCTACAAGTAAACAGTTAACTTTGAATCAAAATTTTGCACTTGAAAATCATTAGAATAGTTTGAGTGAGAAGTGTGTCAACCACAATCATGTCAATCATTGTATTTTTTTTTTTATATATAATAAACATTGCAGATTTGGTATAGGTAAATTTCAGTTTCGGACTCTGCAGTCCAGTAGTGTCATGGCCTAGTTTCTATAATTGATGCGGTACATACTTTAATAAATACTTGGAAAAAGGAAAATGAGTGGTACTGGTGAAAGCTTGACTCAGTGATGCTTTAAAGCCTCCATTTTTATAATAATATATATTATATATTTATCTTTTTATAATATAAATTATATATTTATATAAATATAATTATAAAATATAAAAATTAATATATTATATAATCCAGATTGAGTCGCATCCAGTTCAAACCTTAAATATTAGAAAGAAAGCTCATTTTTTTATCCTAATATGTTTAACGAGTTTAATTTTTTTAGACGAACAATATCAAATATAAGATAAATTATTGAGTTTGAATAACTTAATCTTGTATAGGTTTAACTAGGGTATATTCATATATTTCCTCTATCCTAATATTCATTGTTCTAATTTGACTTTGGGATTACATTCAAACTAATCATTATACTTAGAGTAATAATGATTAAATTTACCATTCACATTTGAATGGCAATTTTATCGCTGTTGCCTTGTTGCTTAAAACTTGATCAAAATTAAAATATTGGTTAGGATATTTCACTATTTTTTATGGAATATTCTTTTATGGTTAACTTTTAATTATTTTTGAACAAAATTAAAAAGTATAGTAGTAAAATTATTCCCATTTAAAGATGAGTGATAAATTTGATTCAACATCTAAAATAAAATGATGAATTTGAATTTATCCCTTTAATTTTCATAACAATTAAGAAAAAACTTTTACTTTAATATATTTTCATAAAGATTAAGCAAAAAAATTTTTTTACTTTAATTATGAGTTATAATAGATTAGATCTGACCGGATTTGATTTAATTATTTTTATCAATATATAATATTTTAAATTTTAAAATTTAATTCGAATTTTTTAAATCAATATATAATATATAATATTTTAATTTTTCTATTATTTTTAATATATTTAAGTATATTTAAATATAAAATAATTATTTTATTTTATAAAAATTTAAATTTTATATAAAAAGTAATAAAAATATAAATAAGTTGATATTTTCATTTTTCACTATACAATCCGAAATCAATCTAAATCGAATAAAAATATATTAATATTAAATTCAAATCAAATTGTATCAAAAAATCCTAATGCTATTCAAATCAAATATTAATATTTTATATGGAATTTTGTTTTTATCTATTTTTCCCTTAACCCTAACTTTATATGAATCAATCACTTTTAAAAAAATTATATCTAATAGGTATAAGATTCAAATTTTAATATCTATATATTTTTTTTTATCCTTATACGGTGGCCCATCTAAATAACAATTATTTAAGAAAAAGAAAAAGTTGATAAACTAAATCAAATATTTGATCAATTAGCAAAAAATAAAAGACTCGACCTCCTTATTAAAAAAATACAACACCTTAATTCTTTTTTTAGTATCTTTTAATATTCATTTTAAACCAATAATAATAATAAAAATAAATCTCCAAGCAATTAGCTGCAAACATTAATATGCTTGAATGTCAATTAATTAGCTTCTCTTTTTTTTTCTTTGAATTTGAATTGGTTTAAATACCATTTTCTTATTAAAGAGAAAGCAAATTAATGTAGGAGATAACTTTTTTAATTTTTTTTAGCAAATACTTATATTTAATTGAATTTGTATTTAATACATTTTATAATTCTACATAATGTCAACGAATCATATGACGTCATCTCATTAAAGAAAAATTTATTAAAAATTTATTTATTATTTATATAGATATATAGAAAAAAGATATAAATATGATTTTCTTAACGTTTTGAAATCAAATAAACCTAACAAATTCTCTCCCTTCCCTACACAAAATTACTCCAACATAAGAAGACAATGGAAAATAAGGCGGCCGCATCTCTTTGCAGCAGTTTTGTCGTTCCACTCGAAATCCAAAGAGAAATTTTATCAAGAACGCCGGTGAAGAGCCTCATCCGATTCAAGTGCGTTCAAAAATCATGGTGCAATCTCATCCAAGACCGTTCTTTCATCGTCAAGCATATGGATCGTTTTGGTAAAAACAGGTATGGTTTTCTCCTCCGCAATTTTACTTTTGATCAATACATCAAGCAATATTGCATAGGAAACGAGAGCAATAATATTATTGAGGGTACCGAAATTCACATGTCAACTAAATGGTTATTTGGAGAATCAAAAGGGTCCATAATCGGTTCGAGCAACGGATTAGTTTGTTTAAGCAGTCACTCTTTTGTCCTGCACCAACCGGATCTCTTGAAAATACATATTTGGAATCCTTCCACAAGAAAAATCATGGAACTTCCTATATGTCATGGTGGGGATATTGGAGCTACTATTATTTCTCCTTATTTTTTCCTTGGCTTTGGATTTTGCCCTAAGATTGATGATTATAAGGTGGTAAGGGTTATGCTGTATGCTCCTTCTTATGGTTGGCCGCCATTAGAGGTTCAGGTTTACACCTTAAGCACAAATTCATGGAAAAGGACGACAACGACAAATCCTGGCTGGGGTCTATCGCCTTCGTTAGGACGAAAACGTGGTCACAAATGGGGCTTGTCATTGGCTAGGACCACAAATAAATTCATCAAAGAGAATGTCGATCATTGCTTTCAAATTTGATGAGGAGGTATTTCTAGAGATTAATACACCAAATCATCATATTTTTCAGTATAGAAGCAGCTTTACGGTTTCGGATATATTCATCACAGAATATCGGAGTTTCCTTTCTTTGATTTCCAAAGGAGCTGATGGAAATTCTGCATTTGACATATGGGTGATGAAAGAATATGGTGTAGCTGATTCTTGGGTTAAACAATTCGCTATTGAAGTACCAGTCCCACTACATAAATTGCAGGTAATGGTGAACTTTGACAATAATGGTGCTCAACTTCTTCTACTTCTAGATAAGATTACGAGAAGGTTGTTTTGGTATGATATCAAGACCAATCAAATTGAAGAGGAGCATGAATTGTTAAACTTCTTATATCCAGAAGAGCAAGTCATTGGTTGTAAGGAAAGCTTAGTTTCATTGCCTGGGGAAATTAGCACTGTGATTTGAGAAGAATGATTGGAATCAATTTTAGTATAATTTTGTTTGCTTTCCACCTTGAATTTTAGGGTTAATTTATTTGGTTTTGATCTTTTTTTAATAATATTTGCTTTTGATTCTTGATGTATTGACTTTTGGATAGATCATGGTGCAATTTCATCCAAGACCTCCAATTTTTCATCACCATGCAGCGGAATGGCTTTGGTAAAAACAAAGATAGTTTTCTCCTCTGTAATTCTTATCCTGATACTTTAAGCATTAATATTTCAGAGGAAAGATATTGTTGGTAGTAATAAAATTCTCATGTCAAATGAATGGTTATTTGGAGAATCACAGGGATAGGCTTCAAGGAATGAATTAATTTGATCAGAAAGATGCTTAGAATTAGGCTCAAATCACAGCCAATAATCGCATCTTCACCACCCCACCTATCTTGTTTTTGGCTTTACTAAAAGGTATCATGGAGCAGGAAAGAAGCAACTTTTGCCAAGTAAACAAGGTACTAGAGTGATTGTACTTGCACTCGTATGTGTAATAGTAATCAAAATTGTCCCATGATGGCTTCAGGGGAAAAGAAAATGCTTTGACAAATTTGACTTAAAGAGCATCTTCAACATATCACATGTTGACCAAAACGTGACTGCGTAATTGGCTCCTGCATCCCCACCATCTGCGTCAAGCCCAAAAGAAGTCAGGGCATACTCAAAAAGTAAATTTGATAAAAAATTCAATAACATAAGAAATTGATTCGAGAAATGATACTAAAATAAAACTGATTAAAATTTTAACAAAAATTATATATAAATTTAATAAAAATAAATTTTTTTAATATTTTTATATTAATATATATTATAATATAATTTTCATATAAAATATGATATACATGAATTACTAATATTTTATATTACATGAATACAAAATCTATTGCATATCATTTACTTGTATTGTTTCTTCAAGAACTTTCTCTGCTTTTGTGGAAAATGAAACCTATTTAAAGAAAATGAGAGAGCAGTCAACAATTTCATACTCCAAAAATTTGTACTTGCATGGTTGAAACAGGGGATGCCAGAACAGCAGCAAAAATGTACCCTTTAGTTTTGGGAAACTTTTCTTTTTTCTCCTTCAAACACTAATGGTATGCGAGGAGGATTGAAGGAAAAACAGAGTAAACAGATGGAAAGCTAAGAGTCTAAGAGAGTAAACAACTCTTAATTTATTTGATTGCAGAGCAAAGTAGTGTGCTTATACACCATTATCATTGCATCTTATGTTAGTTTTATCTATATACCTAGATAAACCCTAACAAAGTTATAATATCCAAATAAATCATTACATTCGAATAAATTTTTAATTTTTAATTTTTATTCAAATAAGTTTTTAATTTTTTAATTTATACCAAAATAAATCTTTAACATAAATCAATTTTTTGTTTCAAAAAATAGCTTATTTAAGTATAAATCAAAATAATAAAGATTTATTTAAGTATAATAAACATTTAGGGGCTTACTTAAAAAAATAAAATAATTCAAAATCTATTTAGGTGTTTTAAAGTATGAGGGGTAAAAGGGAAATCATCAAGCAGAATACCCTCCCCTCAAATCCTCCTAATTTGTGGATTGAAAAAAGTAAGAATAATGGGGGATAGGAAGGATTGGGGGAAGGCGGATTTTATTTGGACCTTTGTACTATATTGGTGTCACGAATCTCACGTGGATAAGAGAAGAGATGATTTTGGACTTATAAATCTTGGGTCTTCTTTCACGTAATAATCATGTCTTTTAGATTAAAAATATAGATATATGATAAATTATATCAGAACAGGCCCAATTTTATACTAATGTAAATCTTTATGAGAGATATTAAAGTCGAGATAGATCCAGATTAAAGGGGTTCCTTTCCTTTTTAGGTAAAAAGGCTAGTTCAATGAAAGCATTAAACAATTGAGTGTGAGAGAATGTCACGAATCTCACGTCCATAAAAAAAGATGTAATCTAATTAGGTAAGAGGATAGTCTTAAGGTGATATATCATGAATTTTCCTCCACCTAATAGAGATATCTTTTAAATTGAAAATGTGGACCCATGACATATGCACTTACCCATTAAAACCTTTCAATTATTAAACATAAAATTTAACTTAATTAATTTATGTAATGATAAAAAATAACATTCATTAGATCTTAGATTCAAATCCTTCACTTATAATCTATTTTTTTATTCTCAAATTACGATATTTTTTGTAAAAAAAATGGTTATTAATAACTTCTTTCTCTGTGTTTCATAGGTGTTGCAAATATAATGGGAAGAAAATTTGGGCCCTCTAAGAGTCCTTATAATCAAAGCAAGAGTTGGGCTGGCAGCATATCGATGTTTGTTTTTGGATTATTCATTTTTTTTTAGGTGAGTTTCAAAATTTTGATACATTTTAGTATGTGTTTTGCTTTCTTCCAACATTGCTGATAAAGTTTTTCTTGTCCCATCTAGGTTTTGGGATTTGCCTTGAATCTCATAATTCGACATCGAAAGTTAAATGAAGTTCAAAGAGTTTGAGTTTATTTTGTATCTCACATTAAGAGTTTAGTAAAAGTATAAGGGTTTCACTCTTATAAATAAGATTTTTTATTTTAGTCTAGTAATTCTAGTTAGTTAGACACCAAAAGAATAATTAGGAAAGTAGGCTAATAAAAGAGTGTAATTGAATTTTGGGTTAAGTTTTGAGTAAAGAGTTTTCGGTAACTTTTCTCATTCAAAAAGTCTCTAAGTTGTAAAGATTTATTTGATAGTAGATTAGGTTTGAAGTAGTCCATTTTGAGTTGAGCCAAAACAAATATATTTGTTTGTTTTTATTATTGATTTGAGCTTGCTATTTTATTCGTAGGTACTGCATGTGCATATTGATTTCTCAATAAGTGGTATTAGAGCGAGATTCGAGGTTTGTAGGAAGAAGAGGCCGGCCTAAAAGATAGTCAAAATGTTTATAAAAGGTATATCTAGTATGCCTATGTCTAAGTTTGAGATTCTACTATTTGATGGAAAAAGTAATTTCATGTTATGGTATAATACGATCCAATATATATTAGTACAATAAGGGTTGGATCAGGCATTAGAGAGTAGTAAGCCTGAGAAAATGTTTGATGATAATTGACATAGAATTTAGAAAAAAGTTGTTAATACTATTAGATTGTCGTTAGCCCCAGAAGTAAAGTATAGTGTATTGACTTAAAGTACTCTGAAGAGTTTGTGAGATAAACTTGAGGGTATTTATGCATCGATGTCGTTAACTAACAGATTATGTTTGAAGATGGATCTGTATTCTCTAAAAATGAAAGAAGGTACAAGTTTTCATAATCACCTGAATGAGTTTAATAAATTGGTTTCTCAATTGTTGGCAGTTTCTATTGATGAGTTGAAGATAAAGAGAAGGCTTCTATTTTATTGTCATCTTTACCCAAGTCTTATAGGCCTTTAGTTCAGACTTTGTTGGTCGGTAGGTCTACTTTGAAATTGGATGATGTGACTACATTGTTATATGAGAACGAAAGGTTTATGAAAACATAGAACTTATCACCTGGAGGGAGTATACTAGTTGTAAAAGGTTTTGATTGAGGAAGGACTCAAAAGAGAATTGATGGATTAAGAGGATGATCTAAGTAAAAAGACAGAGATTATTGTGATATAGAATATTATTATTGTGATGAAAAAAGACATATCTAAGTGCGTTGCAATAAGCTGAAAAGGGATATAGTTGCTTTTAAAAAGACGAATAATAAAAAGAAATCGAATGAAGAAAAGAGTGATATTGCTACCATCGTATCTGATAATGATGATGTTATTTTAACGACTTTTATGGATGAGATTCAGACTTTGAAAAATGATAAAAGTTGAGTTTTGGATTTAGCTGCTATAGTTCATGTTTGCAATGATAAAAGTTGCTTTGTGGAGTTGGATGAGAATGAAAAGTATGGGGATATTGTGATTGCTAACAATGAAAATGTGCAGATTCAAGGCATTAGGAGTGTTCGCCTTAGATCTCACAATGTTGTTGTTAAGACACTTCGCCATGCAAGGTATGTACCGAGTTGTAACTACATTTGATTACTTTAGGTGAGTTAGTTTCTCGGGTGTACACATATTATGATGGTAATGATTCGCTAAAAGTGTACAATAATATTAGTGTGATTTTACAAGGAAATAGAGTCAAAAATCACTTATACATACTTGATGGAAGCTCAATTGTTGGGATCCCTATGATGAAAGAAAAGAAAAAAGGCAAGTTTGTTAGTTTTGCGGATACTGTTAAAGTGTTTAGAGATTTAAGTCGATGAAAGATTTGTTGGGATTTACCTTGAATCTTATAATCCCACATTGAAAGTTAAGTGAAGTTAAAAGAGTTTGAGTTTGTTTTGTATCTCACATCGGGAGTTTAGTAAAGATATAAAGGCTTTCACCCTTATAAATAGGATGTTTTGGTTTTAGTTTGGTAATTCTAGGTAGTTAGACACTAAAAGAATAGCTAAGTGAATAGGCTATCAAAAATGTATAATTGAGTTTTTAGTTAAGTTTTGAGTAAGGAGTTTTTGATAACTTTTCTTATTCTAAAAGTTTTTCAGTTGTAAAGATTTATTTGATAGTGGATTAGGTTTGAAGTAAGTCATTTTGAGTTGAGCCAAAACAAATGTATTTGTGTGTTCTTATTCTTGATTTGAATTTACTATTTTGTTTATAAGTGCTGCATGTGCATGTTGATTTTTCAATGCTAGGATGCTATACTACTACTCAGTTCTTGGATATTTCCAATCAGATTGGGGTTGGACATTAATGCACAGGGTTGCTTTAGTTTCTCTAGTGTCAAGAGTGGTTGAGTCCCTTCCAATTACAATGGCAATAGATGATAATATCTCTGTTCCTCTTGCTACCATGCTAGTAGCCTATTTGAGTTTTAGACACTAGTTTCTTCCAAGTCTATTGTTAAAGCAATAACTTGTTGTTTTTCTTTTGATCAAAATTTTGCTATATTCAACTTAGATACATGTCATATTAATGGAGGGAGGTTGAAATTTCCTCAATTATTTTTGTAAACTCAATCATTAACTTTTTTTTTCTCACTTCTAATACTTTAATTACATAATCAATCAACTCTACAAGTAAACATTTAACTTTGAATCAAAATTTTGCAGTTGAAAATCATTCGAGTAGTTTGAATGAGAAGTGTGTCAACCACATTCATGTCAATCATTGCATTTTTTTTTTTAATGTATATAGTAAACATTGCAGATTTGGTATAGATAAATTTCAGTTTCTGACTCTTCGATCCAGCAGTGTTATGGCCTAGTTTCTATAATTGTTGTGGTCCATACTTTAATAAATACTTGGAAAATGAAAATGGGCGGTACTGGTGAAAGCTCGACTCAGTGATGCTTTTAAGCCTCAGTTTTTATAATAAGATATATTATATATTTATCTTTTTATAATATAAATTATATATTTATATAAATATAATTATATAATATAAAAATTGATATATTATATAATTCATATTAAATTGCATCGACTTCGAAACTTAAATATTAGATATAAGATTTTTTTTTATTTAAATATCTTTAACGAACTTAATATTTTTAGACAAATATTCTCAAATATAAAATGAATTATCGAGTTTGAGTAACTTAATTTTGTGTAGGTTTAATTAGGATATATTCATATATTTCCTCCATCTTAATATTCGTTGTTCTAATTTGACTTTAGAATTACATTCAAATTAATCATTATACATAGAGTAATGATGATTAAATTTACCATTCATATTTGAATGGCAATTTTATCGTTGTTACCTTGTTGTTTAAAGCTTGATCAAAATTAAAATATTGGTTAGGATATTTCACTATTTTTTATGGAATATTCCTTTATGGTTAACTTTTAATTATTTTTGAACAAAATTAAAAAGTATAGTAGTAAAATTATTCCCATTTAAAGATAAGCGATAAATTTGATTCAGCATCTTAAGTAAAATGATGAATTTGAATTTACCCCTTTGATTTTCATAAAGATTAAGAAAAAAAACTTTTACTTTAATAAGAAATTTTTTTTTACTTTAATAATGAGTTAAAATGGATCAAATTCTATTGGATTCGGTTTAGTTATTTCTATCAATATATAGTATTTTAAATTTTAAAATTCAATCCAAATTCAAATTGACTTTCCTTTAAAACAAAATCGATGTAAATTTAATTTTATCGATTTAGTTAGATTTGATTCATTGATTTTTAAAATTTAAATTTTAATTTTTTCTATTATTTTAATATATTTAACTATATTTAAATAAAAAATAGTTATTTTATTTTATAAAAATTTTAAATTTATATAAAAAGTAATAAAAATATAAATAATTTGATATTTTGATTTTTCATTCTATGATTTGAAACTAATCTAAATCAAATTAAAATATATTAATAATAAATTCAAATTAAACAGAATAAAATATTCTAATTCTATATGAACCAAATATTAAGATTTTATACCGATTTTCTATTTTATCAAATTTTCCCTTAACCCTAACTTTTTATGAATTAATCACTTTTAAAAAAAATTATATTTAATAGGTGTAGGGTTCAAATTTTGATACCCACAATACCTTTTCTTATCCTTATACGGTGGCCCATCTAAATAGTAATTATTTAAGAAAAATAAAAAGTTGATAAACTAAATCAAATACTTGATCTATTAGGCCAAAAAAAAAAGTTTAAATACTCGACTATCTTATTAAAAAAATACAACACCTTAATTCTTTTTTAATATCTTTTAATATTCATTTTAAATCAATAATAATAATAATAATAATAATAATAATAATAATAAATCTCGAGGCAAGTTAGCTGCAAACATTAATATGCTTGAATGCCAATTAATTAGCTTTTCTTTTTTTCTTTCAATTTGAATTGAATTAGAATTTGAATTGGTTTAAATATCAATTTCTTATTAAAGAGAAAACAAGTTAATGTAGGAGATAACTCTTTTAATTTTTTTTTCCTATCAAATATTTATATTTAATTGAATTTGTATTTGATACATTGTATAATTTTACATATTATCAACGACATATAGAGATATCTCATTAATGAAAAATTTATTAAAAATTATTTTTTATTTATATAATATATAAAAAAAAGATACAAATATGATTTCTTAACGTTTTGAAATCAAATAAACCTAACAAATTCTCTCCCTTCCCTACACAAAATTAATCCAACATAAGACGACGATGAAAAAGAAGGCGGCTGCTTTTCTCTGCGGTTTTGTCGTTCCACTCGAAATCCAAATAGAAATTTTATCAAGAATGCCGGTAAAGAGCCTCATCCGATTCAAGTGCGTTCAAAAATCATGGTGCAATCTCATCCAAGACCCTTCTTTCATCGTCATGCATATGGATCGTTTTGGTAAAAATAACTATGGTTTTCTCCTTTGCAATTATACTTTTGATCAATACATCAAGCAATATTGCATAGGAAACGAGAGCAATAATATTGTTGAGAGTACCGAATTTCAGATGTCAACTAAATTGTTATTTGGAGACTCAAAAGGGTCCATAATCGGTTCGAGCAACGGATTAGTGTGTTTAAGCAGTCACTCTTTTGTCCTGCACCAACCGGATCTCTTGAAAATACATATTTGGAATCCTTCCACAAGCAAAATCATGGAACTTCCTCTATGTCGTGGTGGGGCTAGTGGAGCTGCTATTATTTCTCCTTATTTTTTCATTGGGTTTGGATTTTGCCCTAAGCTTGATGATTATAAGGTGGTAAGGGTTATGCTGTATGCTCGTTCTGATGGTTGGCCGCCATCAGAGGTTCAGGTTTACACCTTAAGCACAAATTCATGGAAAAGGATGACAATGGCAAACCCTGGCTGGGGTCTATCGCCTTCGTTAGGACGAAACGGGGTCACAAATGGGGCTTGTCATTGGCTAGGACTACAAATAAATTCACCAAAGAGAATGTCGATCATTGCTTTCAAATTTGATGAGGAGGTATTTCTAGAGATTAATCCACCATATCATCATATGTTTCAGTATAGAAGCAGCTTTTCGGTTTCGGATATATTCATCACAGAATATCGGGGTTTCCTTTCTTTGATTTCCGAAGGAGCTGATGGAAATTCTGCATTTGACATATGGGTGATGAAAGAATATGGTGTAGCTGATTCTTGGGTTAAACAATTCGCTATTGAAGTACCAGTCCCACAACATAAATTGCAGGTAATGGTGAACTTTGACAATAATGGTGCTCAACTTCTTCTACTTCTAGATAAGAATACGGGAAGGTTTTTTTGGTATGATATCAAGACCAATCAAATTGAAGAGGAGCACGAATTGTTAAACTTCTTATATCCAGATGAGCAAGTCATTGGTTGTAAGGAAAGCTTAGTTTCATTGCCTGGGGAAATTAGCACTGTGATTTGAGAAGAATGATTGGAATTTTATACAATTTTAGTATAATTTTGTTTGCTTTCCACCTTGAATTTTAGGGTTAATTTATTTGGTTTTGATCTTTTTTAAATAATATTTGCTTTTGATTCTTGATGTATTGACATTTGGATAGATCATGGTGCAATTTCATTCAAGACCTACTTTCATTTTTCATCACCATGCAGCAGAATGGCTTTGGTAAAAACAAAGATGGTTTTCTCCTCTAGAATTCTTATCCTGATACTTTAAGCATTAATATTTCAGAGGAAAGATATTGCTGGTAGTAATAAAATTCTCATGTCAAATGAATGGTTACTTGAAGAATCACAGGGATAGGCTTCAAGGAATGAATTAATTTGATCAGAAAGATGCTTAGAATTAGGCCCAAATCACAGCCAATGATCGCATCGTCACCACCACACCTATCTTGTTTTTGGCTTTACTAGAAGGTATCATGGAGCAGGAAAGAAGCAGCTTTTACCATGTAAACATAGTACTAGAGTGATTTTACTTTCTCTCATATGTGTTATAGTAATCAAAATTGTACCATGATGGCTTCAGGGGGAAAAAAAAAAGCTTTGACAAAACGTGATTGCATAATTGGCTCCTGCATCCCAAGAGTAAGCTCACAATATCTTGGACTTTTTTGCCAAAGCTTCAATGGATATTCATTGAAGTTTTCCTACAAAATCTTATAAAGCCAATGTTTTTTATTGATTGCTTTTATAGTATTTGATAATCTTTTTAGTTGAAAGTTTTTATCACAAATATGCTTATGTTCTTGTAATAAAAGAATTCTAACTGATGTTTTATCAATTGTAAGAGTAACATGAGTATTTGATAAAGAAAATGGAATATAAGTTCGTAAAAAATTATTTTCTAATAATATATCTTCATGCATGTTTGGAAAACATAATATTTTTGATATTATGAATCTAACATTATTGAGATAAACAGAAATATTTTTTTGCTTTATAACCAACAATAGTTTCCTTGTGTCAAACCCAAAAGTAGTCAAGGAATGCTCGAAAAGTATATTTGGTAATTTAAAACAAAATTCAATAACATAAGAAAATGATTCGGCAAATGACACTAAAATAAAACGGATTAAAATTTTAATAAAAATTATATATAAATTTAATAAAAATAAAAAATATACATTTTGTGTTTTTATATTAACGTGTATTTGTAACACAATTTTCATGTAAAATATGACATATACATGAATTACATATGTTTTATACTACATGAATACAAAATCTATTGCATATCATTTACTTGCATTGTTTCTTCAAGAACTTTCTCTTCCTTCGTGGAAAATGAAACCTATTTAAAGAAAAAGAGAAAGCAGTCAACAATTGCATACTCTAAAAATTGATACTTGCATAGTTGAAACAAGAGATACAAGAACAGCAGCAAAAATATACCCTTTAGTTTTGGGAAACTTTTCTTTTTTCTCCTTCAAACACTAATGGTATGCGAGGAGGTT